TTTGTTCTTATACAACTGAAGAAGAATTTGGGAGTGAAATTGCTTGAACTGTTTTAAAAGAGCAAGATATTTTCTGTTCAATTAAACCATTTGTGCGCTATAATTAATATACAGGACTTCCCCCCAGAATGCATCTGATCAGCTTATTTAGTTCAGTATTTGCATAACGCAAACAGTACTTTTAATCATCTTTAATGACTTCTTAACTTGATTCCAAATATTAGGAAGCAATATTTCTAAAATGACAGAGGAAGAGAAGTCAGTATGTCCAAAAGGAATAGTAATTACTTAGGTAGGCTCTCACCTTTATCAACTTTGCTCAGGAACTTTGCAAAAAAACATCATGTTTGGATTTACAAAACTGTGGAGGACAAACTATTTTCTCTCTATATGTATATGTATGTATGTGTGTATATGCCTACATATATATGTATAGATATAAGTTCCTGCCAAATTTCTCCTCATGTCAACTGCAGCAAAGCTCACCCCCTCCTCTCCTTGCACCCCCCTCATTCCCCTCCCCACCTTCCCGCTGCTTTCGCCAGACCAGACGGGACCGTCTCCGCGTGTCCCCTCCGGCTCCCACTCCCATCCCCACTCCCAACCCACCCAGGCCTTTGGCTCCAATAACTTTTATCCGCATCTTAGTTTTCACTTGTACTTGGCTGCTTACTTCTCTTCCTACCTTTCTCATCTCATTTTCTGAGCCTGTATTTTTCCGCTTCCTGAATCCCTCTCCGACTGGAGCAGTTTCCTACGCCTGTGTCCTGCAGGGCACTTGGGACACCAGTTGCCAGCAACACTGCCCTGAGTTTCCATCCAGCTGCCGGGTGCTCGACCCTTGTATTGCTAAACCCGGGACCTCCAAGATCAACTCAGTATTAACATTCCCCACTTTGTAAGTGTAAAGCCAGACAAAGTCATAATAGAAAACAAGGAAAATCTCTGATATAATGATGCACTTTACATTTCAAACATGACACATAGGGAAATTTCTTTTTTTCCTCTGATAAAGGAAATCAACATACATTATAGTTCGGCATATGGGAGAATAACTGTTTTTCCGGCACAGCATTTCCATGACAACCTAATTCCCCCAAATTGGTATTTCTCATTGCTTTTATCAAACTGGGCCTAGATAATACGGGTCTCTCCTGTCTTGCACTTCTCTTGGTATTAAAGGCAGCCATTCACCCTGCATGTAACTTGCTCCTCACCACAACCACCTTATTCAACAACATGATTTCTCCAGCTTAAGAAGGCAAACCCGAAGTGCTGAGCTTAAAGGAAATCAACATACATTATAGTTCAGCATATAGGAGAATAACTGTTTTTCTGGCACAGCATTTCCATGACAACATATCGAATTCCCCCAAATTGGTATTTCTCATCGCTTTTATCAAACTGGGCCTAGATAATACGGGTCTCTCCTGTCTTGCACTTCTCTTGGTATTAAAGGCAGCCATTCACCCTGCATGTAACTTGCTCCTCACCACAACCACCTTATTCAACAACATGATTTCTCCAGCTTAAGAAGGCAAACCCGAAGTGCTGAGCTGCTCACGGTGAAGGGCATCCCAACTGTTTGCAACATAACATCTATATTTCCTATTTATGGGCACTCATATAGTAATATCATCACCTTTTCCGATAGAAATAACTTGAGCAGTTGCATTTCACTTCCACCTTTGCTGGAATCCTGGAATTCCTTTGATCTCATATGATCCATGAAGGATCATCTTATATGTTCAGCACTTGGGATTTTAGAAATTTCTCAACACGTGCCATTTAAATAGTACTTTAAAGGCTCTGTATTTCTGTCTGGTCTATGGGAAGGACTTCTGCAACTCTGCTTCTTGGCATTACAGAGGTCACTTCTCAGACCACAACTGGTTAAAAATGCCCAAGCTTCTCAGTGCTAGAGCTCAAGAGTATTAACTTACTTCTAAAATATGTTGACTGTCTTCCAGTGAGCTCAGATGTTGATTTTAGATTCTGCATATCAAAACTAAGACCCTACAGATTCTTCACTGCTATGTTTAATTCCAGTTCTAATTCATCAAAAAAAAAAAAAAACCAAAAAGTGCATTGCTGCAGTAGCCTCAGCTTAGCAGAAGGCCAGTTTAAGAAAGCACTTTCTTTCATTTTTTTCCATACAACATAAAAACCTTGTTTAAATCTATCATTTTATTGTGTAAGCAGTAACAAACTGCAAGGAGGGAGCTCAGCCTTGCACAAGTAACATAATCGCTGCCTTCACACCAGGCAGGACACCTACTCGTACCTTTTTGGTAAGCACCAGAGTAAAATCAATCCAGACATCACCTTTCAGAACAAGAGCAGGGCTCAGACCTCGGGCTTTACGTCCTGCTGCACTTCACCCCTTTATCGTGAAGCAGCTGCTATACATTAAAGGAATTTAACACGTCTATGCCCCTTTCACCGAGTCAATTCACTGCACAGCATAAGTTGTCCAGGACTGTTAAGGGAACAGTAGAGTATAGAGAGTTTTCTGATTTTAAAAGTTCTAGTGTGGCCCTAAAGACCCCCTGCAGCAATAGCCAACACACGTAATTGGACAACGTGCCTATGAAGAATCACACAAAAACCCTCAATACCGCTGGCTGCAAAGCAGAATATGAACTTCAGCAAAATATGAAACACACAGAACAAGCTTTGTTCAAGGAATATATGAACAGATATTGACACTAGTTTTATAGGAAGCAAGAAAGGCAGTGCAGTGTTGCACCGCACTTCCATTCTGCATTTTCATTTTGTAACACCTAACGTAAATCAGATACTCTAGGTTTAAAATCTAGATATCATCAATAAAAAGATTTTTTTTCCACCATTCAGAATAGGGTTCAGTGCAATCTCCAGGTAATTGAAAAGTATTTTAAAGGCGCAGTAAATTTATGAGTAAATCTTATCAAGGCCTATAAAGCTCTGCAGCAAAGGAGAGCAGCACAGCAGGGAAGCACTTTGACAGCGAGGAAATTACACCGTGAGCAGGGCGAGTTTGTCAAGCACCCTCCCTGTGGCTCTGAAGGCAGGTTTGGGAGATCTCCAGAGAAGGAGACTCCACAGCCTCTCTGGGCAGCCTGTTCCAGGGCTCTGTCACCCTCACAGCAAAGAAGTTCTTCCTCATATGGAGATGGAACTTCCTGTGTTTCAACTTGTACCCATTACCCCTCGTCCCGTCACCGGCCACCACAGAGAAGAGTTTGGCCCCATCCTCCCTACATTCTCCCCTCAGATACTTATGCATGTTGATCAGATCCCTCTCAGCCTTCTCTTCTCCGGGTTAAACAGGCCCAGGCCATGCTGCTGAAGAGCATGTCCATGGCATCAAACGCCTTCCACAGGACAACGCAGCAGCAGCTGCCACCTCCCTCCTGCCGCTGCCAGCGCCGCGCGCTGCAGAACGTGGGAGCTGCGAAGGGCTCGGGGCGAACGCGAGTCTGTGCCGCGCTCACCGGTAACTCCCGCCCGTGGTGACTCAAAGGTGCTTCTTTTCAGCACACCTAATTCCCCCCTGTCCTGAAAGCTCCATTCCAAAACGATGATGACAGGTCCATCCAGTTCGCACCATCTCTCTAACCTATACTCCCTTCTGCGAGTTCTTTCTGGGCAGCTGCTCTTCTGAAGTCAAGAAAAACATCAAGTTTACAAAGCTCAGCTACTCATCGGGGAATACAACTTTCTTTCCCCTTTTTGAGGGTCTGAACATCTAATTAGAGAAAAGGATTTATCAGCTTCTCAAATTAGAAAAACTGTTTAGAAAAGTCTTAGAAAGAAAAAAAGTCCCAAAGTACAGGCTATGAAATAAACCCAGCACGTATATAAGTTTTTTTTTAAAAAGAAGTAGAAAGATAAAATTTAAGGCGAAAATTAGTTTCTTTACTTTTGAGGTCTATAAGCTACAGTCATGAGTATCTGTAATGACAGGCAATATGTGAACTCAGAAGAAACCAAGAAACAGTTCCTGGCTAAAAGAAATTATTAAATCCTAGAATTGAAGAGAAAAAAGTTAACTGGTAATGCAGATGCTTATAGGGAGATCCCACAACGTTTATCTGTTTGCATGCATAAAATAACACCTCCAAAAGCCTCCTCATGTCCCAAACCCTTCAGATTGCAGGGGTCACCAGAATGGTGTGTTACAAGGATGGAAGTGAAGGTCTGAACTTCACCTCCAGTGCTATTACCCTGCCGTAGCACACTGCTCTGCACCACCACCTTTACTCCTGGATCTTGAAGGAGGAGGCTCCAAGTTTCTGTTATTCTACTGGGACCCTAATAAGTTTATACTGTATTTTAGAGCACACACACTGAAATCCTTCCTTTAATAGTTTCTATGATTCTTTAGACAAGCCAAAATTCATAAAAACTCAAGATAATTCTTTTGGAAAAATAAGTCCTCAAAAGAACAACCATATATTCATGGTCACTTAGGTAAGCACTTAATGTGCTTACTAATATGTAAGCATATGGTCAATATGCTTATTCACATATAAGCAACATATATTCAGAAAACAGCAGTGGAGAAAGCGCTGCTTGCATAAATTCACTACTCATTTATTTGAAAGAGATTGTAAGGAATATGTCAAAAAAATTAATCAATATATTCAGATGATAAAAAATGTTAGCATGTACAGCATTTGAAATCAGTTGGAAAAAAATAACTACAGAATTAAGGCACACAGGTGTTGGATACTCATCCACAAAGCAGTGTGATAGCCTAATTCTGAGGAGACTAAGACATGCACTTTCTTGGGGTTGTGAGCACAGTACAGTGAACTGCATTTCATCTTTTGCTCTGAAGCAACTTCTACTGTCAAAATTTGCTCTTAAGATAATTCTAGTTATCAAATTATGCAGTTCTTAACGAAAAATTCTAGAAGGATTAAAAAGACAGTAAATCTTGGTATCAACCCATTTTAAACAAGATAGACTTGCAGAGATCTTGGCTATGTTTTATTCTTGAAATAAAGGACTGCTTACCTGATTGGCCATGTAAATTGTCAGCAGGCCTCTCCTGCAAACAAAAATGATAGAGTTAGTAACTGAATTAAACATTTCTTGAATATTGAAGGACATTTAAAGCACAGAGCATTGTATTAAAGAGGAGAGATTAAGAAACGGTGCATTGATAGAAGATGAATCATTACTACCCTGTAAAAAAGTAGTATGAAATCAAAATAGCAGCTTGATGGCACAGTACCCAAAGCAGCAAGGAACTGCAGGAACAAATTATAAATAGTAACATGTCAGTGCACGTGAGCCGGGCAGCTGACACGGAGGGGTAAAGCACCTTGAACGACACAGCCCTTACCACAAAATACAAACCCATACCCAGACTGCCCGGAGCTGCAGCACTCCCACCTGAAAACACTTTCCACGATTACAGAAGCTCAGCAGCAGTGGCCATGGGTTACACTGGGCTGTGAACACGCAGAAGCTGCTGCTGTGCAGGTTTTTACTTTGTGATAAGTGTACATAACTCAGGGTGCCTTACCTGTCCTGCTAGCACTATGATGTAGGAAGCAGTAGAAAGTGCTTTCTACTAGCAGCACTGAATATGTGTATTTATAGTACTTTATACCGTGTAGTATTTTTATACTATTACATGATGGACCAGTCCAGGTTTGTTCTGCTTGGCCCCAAGATTCTACATTCCTGGATTTATAAGCACTTAGGAGAACTGTACATTAACAGAACTTATCTTGGAATCACTTCAACCCTACAAGCAAGCAAAACAAAATCAAGGGCAGTAGGAAACAGCAGGTTTCCTACTGTGTAGTTCCCAGGCATCAATCAGACACTCCCCCTTCTCCTCCAAAAATAAAAAATAAAGCCCCCAAAAACCCCAAAACAGTAAAACACACCAGCACACTCTATTCAATCTTTCTAACATCTAACCCCGTACAAAGCATCCAGATCAAGGTTTTTCGCGGATATCTAAGGCAAAGGGATTTACCTCCCTAGCAGCTTTGGGGCTTTCACCCCACTTTGCAGCTCCTCTTCCTACACAGCCCCCTCGCATCGGTCGTGCTGGCTCCACAGCCGAGGCCCTAGCGGAGAGCGAGGAAATAGGAGGCCAGATCCAAAGATTTGGGGAGGGCAGGCCACAATTTTTTCATGGGATCTAATCTATTAACTCAATAAATGTTGAGTATTCTGGAAAACATTAGAATTCTATCAGCATCCTGCTGTAAAACACACACCAGAGAAGCTACACCAGTGACTGATTGACAGAATACACAGATACAACTTTATAACTTTACAGTTATTTTGTGTGTTGCACAACATGATCGTTATCTGTGCATGTAGTTTACACAGGGGATTCTCCCCCGCGCTCTGACTTGCGCACGGGCTGCTACAGCCTCCCACTTGTGTTGCACCACGTTGTAAGTACTAAAAATGTAAACTAGGAACTTGCTCTAACAAAGTTTTAGCTGAACGGGACTGAAATAAGAGCTGAGCATAAAACATGACCTGCCAACTGCAAAGACAAAGAAAGGAAAAGGGGCTAGGGAAGAGGAAGGAAAAAAAGTGGAAGCTACAATACAGCTGCAGCAAGACTGATATGAGAAGTCGTCAGAAGGAGGGAAAATGTTCAGACATCCAGTGTGCACAAGGAAGCAGCTTCCGGAGCTGGGAATGCAGAGAGCAGCCGGCTGACATCATCCCCCAGGGCCTGCAGCCGGGCTGCCCGCTCGGGGCTGCGCGAGCTCGTGCCAGGCAGCAGCAGCAGCTTGTTTTCTCCAAATTCACAGACTTAAATAGCCCTGGGTTTCTGAAGAAAAGGACTCCAACTGTCCCCCTGCAAACGCGGGCCAACAGGGCAGACCTAACTGCGAGCTCGACTGTTCAAGAAAGTGGGTGGAAGTTCAGAAAACGTTGCACTGTTTTGTAACAACTCACAGAAACCAGGGCAGAAACAGGGAGCTCGTCCAAACAACAGGGTCACTGATACAACTCAAGGACTGCATTAAAGTTGCAGCTGGTTAACAAAACTGAGAAACAGTATGACAAAAACAAGAAGTGATTAAATAACAAAAGATAATCACTCCAACACATATAATTACTAGCTCTGAGGACTTTTACCAATACTGAGGCTGACATTTCACCCAGCAGCCCACGTGCCCCATCCACGTGCCCGGGGTTGGACGTGACCCACGGGAGCATCTGCATCGGGCGGCAGCGTCACCGGGGACGAGCAGACAAGGTCACCAAGGTAAAGATCAGCCTAACGCACACAGATCCCTGCAGCGTTCACTCCTCCACGCTTTCTTCTTTGCCCTATGCGAGTCCTCTTTCAGAAGCAACTCTTTTAAGATTTTCATCTCAGCACAACCACATCAGGTTAAAGGACCCTGAGAAAGGCTGTAAGGGAAGACAGGAGCTCCCAGCCCTCGCCCGCCACCACTTTGGCTGCCAGCATCTCCCAAATCCTGCTCAGCTTGTAATGACAGAAGCAAACTTTAATTTGGGAAAGAAAAAGGGAAGCTTGGGCACAATTCATGAAAGGCTGACAACACTGAGCTAGAACAGGGAAGTAAATCAGCACCCCGAAGAGCTGCACCTGCGGGGCAGAGACGCAGGGACGTGCCGTGCTCTGCTCCCCAGGCGGCTTCAGCAGCTTAAAGAGCTCCATGCTTTTCCATAAAAGGGCTAAAAAGGTGTGTTTGGGGTTTTTGTTGCTTTTGGTTTTTTAAACAAGTCCAATATATTCCACCTGAAAGGGGGATTGGATGAAAGCAATCCAGTTTTTAAAATACTGTTTGAAGTATCAAAATGCTGTAGTGCTTACCTCCCTTCCATCTGTTTGTCTTTCCTTGTGTGTCAGAGGACACATCTCAAATTCCTTAACAAAGGGCATGTCATCTGTTACTGTGCAATTCCAATTCTCTGGATTCACTTTTTCTATTTAAATTTCAAGTTCCCTCGTTCATTTGCACTTTCCTCCAATAAAGGTTTCATTTCACTCTGACAATTTGTGATACGCCAACCAAGATCTGAAAGGAACAGCGCTCAAACTATGGCCTATAAACATGTTCTTGGGATTGTACTGCCCAGAGGAAAGGGCAAATTAAGGGTAAATTTTAAAAGGGCAGGAGCATAAAAACAGCAAGGAGGCCTAACATTGCACACTGGCTGTATGAACAGAGCTGTAGGCAGGAGGTCAAGGGAAATGATTCATCCCCTTTCCCTGGCACTCATTAGACCCCATGTGGAAAACTGCATCCGTGCTCAGCTCCCCAGCGCAAGGAAGCTGTGGATGAGCTGGAGCGAGGATCTGCCCCATGAGGACAGGAGCCCCATGAGGACAGGACCAGGACCTGCCCCACGAGGACGGGAGTCCTCCAGGCTCTGATAGAGGAGCACAGTGGAAGGCTGAAAAACAACCACCAGGAACCAACAGACGGGAGAGCTTGACCTGATGTGAGGAAACACGAAAGACAGCCAAGCTCTGAACAGCGGCCGCGGGGCCTCCGTTCCCAAGAGCTCCCTGGACGCTCCATTCCCAAGAGCTGCCGCGCTGAACCTGCTGCGAGCCGGACAAGACCCCAGCTCCTTCTGCCTCAGCAAGTCTGAGCACAAAGAAGGCGAAACGCCACTTCAAAACACTACCAGGTCCTTCCGCCACAGCCACCGACAAATTATGGTCATGCTACTTACTTTAATAATTTGCATCCTGCTTCTGTCCAAGAATGTGCACAGACACTGGCACTGCCTACATCTTTGCCTCCGCCTGGTGTTTTATTTAACATTTCACATTTGAATCACGACAAATCGGTCGAACTAACCATGGCATTTCAAAATGCTTTCTTCTGATTCACAAACACACTTAAACGTGCTGGAGGACTTCAACAAAAAGTCTCACTGGTGGAAATCAAGTGACTCAAATCCCTATTAGTATAAACAAGTAGCCGACCCACACTTGAAATGGAAACACAGGAAATAGGAATCAGATTAAACATTTATTGCCTGTTGTTTAATCAACAGCACTTCAAAAATCAAAGAAATCAGTAAGATGAATTTCTGGGTATTTCTGTTGTCGGCGGCCAGGCACACGGTACGCCCGCCCCCCGGCAGCGCCAGCAGCAGCTCTGCTCGCGCTCCAGCCAGCGCGCGGCCGGGCAGAGGCCGCTCAGCGCTGCTTCTTGCTTACAAAACCCCCAAGAACCTTCCTCTCACACGCGGTGAGGGCTCTGGCTCCAAGGAAAAGCAAACCAAAGCAAACATTAATTTTAAAAACCACAAGCAAGGTGTGTTTTTCCTACTCGCTGCCCTAGCACTTCGTTGAAGATCAGAATGTTGTTTTTTTTTAAAGTCCGTCCTCTCTCTTTATTTATCCTGATTATATCCTGATTATTTATGGTTTTCCTTAAACACACTTACGGTTTACCTTAAATATAGAGCTGTTATTGAGCTAAGACAACACCTTTGCCTGAAGGTGGGATGAACCTTAAACTATGCTCATGCTAGCAGCATGTTTTACACCAGTCAACCATATTCTTTTTGCTTCACTCTGAAGGAGTTTAGCATACTTTAAATAGCATCTGTATGGAGGGCAGCACTGCAGAATATTTCCAGCAGAGAGCAAAATCTACCATACACAAGCATAAAGCATACTTACCACCTATTCTCTCCCCACAGAAGAGAGGTAAAAAGCTGTAATTTTTTAAAATCTATTTACCTCTCACTATTCACTCCTCTGTTTAAATTTTCTCTCAGTCTTTCGTGCTTCTTATGATTGTGTTTTTTGTGGTGGGAACGAGTAGGACCGCAGCGAGCTGCCCACAAGCCACGTGCCCACAGCAAACAGGCACCTCCTCCTGTCAGAGCCGCTCAGAGGTGTCGGCCACAGCTACAAGGCACTAAAATCACATGAGAGAGAGAGGAGAAGGTGCCAACAGTGGGGCCATTATATCCAGACCCCATAACTCGCTACCGCTGCCGCCGACCAGCAGCGGGGATGGTTGAAAGCAACACAACGGTGGGTGAAGAAGCATCTTTCTGTCTGAAACG